CTGAACCCAGGGCTGCTGCCTGCTGGTTGGGGACATGGTGAAGGAGAGGACAAAGCATCTTGCTTACTGGAAGATGCCCATATTAAGCATTGCAATGCCTGGCCAGAGTTGTTAGAAATGAATTTTGAAACCTGCTAATTTGTGTGAATATGTAAATGTCTCCTTCATGAGCTTTTGGTACCAAGCCGTGGCTTTACAGTCATTGCAGATGCTTCTAGCAGAGAGCAGGTTTTGAGAAAACGAAAAGCATGACCCTTATCTGGGAAACTGAACTAGTAAAAAAAACCAAACCAACACATAATAAAGAAATAACACTAAGATGTCAGCACTAACTGCAAAGGCAGGGTGACTTCTGTTGTCTTTCTTGCCCCTCAAAGGCTTCAGTGGATGGAGATCCTGCTACCTTTGGAGGCAGTTTCTCACAAGCAGCCATTCCATTGTTGAGTCAAAAGTCCATGTCTCTTGTGAAATCTTGAGCTTTGGATCCCAGTTAGTGGACCCCTGGGAAGGTTTTTCTTCTGTGAGATTCAAGAGCACTCTGCTCCTGGAAATCATCCCTCTTTAAATAGGTTTTTCACATCCTGTCCATCCCTCCCTGCCAATCTCCTCTTGAAGGGACTGACTTGAATGCCTTTGTTATCTGGCAGTTGCAGCTGCTTCTTGAGCCCCTCTGAATTTAAACATAAACTTGCAGCGTGAGTTCTGGGACTGTCTATAGCTGCCCAGTGTTTTATGTTCATACCTATAGAAGCCCATGGACTTTCGCTGCTGGAAGCTCATGACAGCTGGGCAGTCTCTCTACAAGTTTGAGAACCATTTTCTTTCTAGGATGTGATTTTCTATCATCTAAATAGTTTTATCTGCAACTGTTGTTTCTAGACTTGTTTTTATTCTGGTGAAATTATCTGTCCTGATGGTTACTTAGGGTATCTTAGTTATTTTAATCTGCAGATATTACTGGTGTAATATTTTGCTTGGTTTTCACAAGATCTGTGGTAAAGGTCTTGAAATAACACCGTGTTGAGGACAATCCTCATGGAAAGCCTTGTCCTGAATGGTGCTCTTTGTTGCTCTTTCCACCATACTCATCAGTGAGTGTTAATGAGTACTCTCTCTCCTGCCAACTGGGGCTGATCCTTAGTGGGTTTGCCTCCTGGCTCTGATGACACCATTTAGCCCTGTGGGCTTTCAAATGTTGCATTTTTGCATTTCTGCTAGCTACTAGTACAATAGGAAACATTTGCTAATCACTTTCAGACAGACACATAGGACTCTGCCCCAAACCTGATGAGACCCTCTCCTACACAGTGGTTCGTGGTTTCTTTTAATTTTGTTTTCTGACAAGTGTTAGATTTGGATCCTTGTCTTGCTTTCTTTGCTCCTTTTGTCCTTAAATGGTGATACAAGCCTTTTGTATTTGTTGATACAAGCCTGCTGTCTGTTGTTGCTGTCAACATCAATTTTAATGTAATGAATGTAATGGTGTGTATTGTTAAGAAGAGCTCCACCTGGGGTTGATGTGGGGGTGCAGGGGCTTCCTCTGAGCAAATTCTATTTTTCTGTCTGTGTGACTGTGGCTTGTCTTTTTGGTAAAAAATTGATTCTCTGATAAAAGATGTGGAAGGTATTTCCATTTGAAAATATTCCCTCTTGCTTAAGAGACATAATAAGTCTGCTAAAAGCAGTGTGTGTCTTGCAGACTGGGTGAAGAGGAGGACAGGGAGACAGACAAATCTGACAGCCCTTTTGTCTTTCTCATGTTCTCCTTTCCTGCCTACTTGTCCTTGCCCCATATTTTAGGAGAGTTGAACCTTGTCTAAATTCTGGCTCTGGGTTTTCTAGCAAAATAGCTTCATGTGGTTTAAGTGTCTACCTACAGCAAATTGTCCCACTTATTTCAAAAGCCCTGTTAATATTGTGTGTTGCTTGAGCAATTGGAAGCCAGCAGAACACAGAGCCTGCAGGCATCATGATGTGCTGCACAGACACAGCCCTGCTTGCCGCTGTCTTCCAGCGTGTATCAGCGTGGTGATCTCTGAAGGCGGTGACAAGGGAAACAGTGTGAAGGGGGCCTACAGGAAAGCTGGGAAGGGACTTTTTACAAGGGCTTGTAATGAGAGGACAAGTTGTGGAAGCCCCATCCCTGGAAGTGTTCAAAGCCTGAGCAACCTGATCTAGTGGGAGGTGGCCCTGCCCATGCAAGGGGGTTGGAACTAGATGATCTTTAAGGTCCCTTCCAATTCAAACCATTCTATGATTCTGTGCCCAGCATGGGTAGCAGGCTGGAGTTCACAACATGGCACAGGAGGTGCAGAGCTGAGCCTCTCTTGTCATGGTTGCAGGAGTGGATGAGGACCCCTCCTGGGGCTGGCCGGGGAACGCTGTTTGGGAGAAGACTGCATGATGGTACGTGTGACCAGGCTTGAACTGCTGGATTTGTCTTTTGTGTCAGAAATCTAGAAGTATGAGGAAGAGCCAGATGGGTTGCTGAAACCTCCCGAGCTGCGAATCACTCTGCTGCAGTAAATGGCTGTGGTGAACATCTTCAAAAAGCAGTGGGGTGTCTGGTGGTGCAGGCAAGGCTTTGAGGACACATCTGATTTATTGGTGTGGTTGGAGGCAAGGCTGAGCCCTTGCTTTGGAGGAACAAGTGTGCATATGTTGTTAAAGCATGCTGTTTCCAGCCCACAGTTTTGATGTTCAAGATCAAAGCCTATGTGCTGGGCTTGCTTCCTTTGGCCACAAAGGAGACGGGTCTTCAGTTTGTTGTTGTATTAAGCATTTCCTTGTTTTAAGCACTACCCCATACAAATACACCATTCAACATAGGTCTGTAAAATGGAAGAACAAGCTACTGCTTATAATCACTTACGTGCACCTGCACATCTTTGGGAAAATCTAATTGCCACCACTTTGAAGTCTGTGGTCAATGAGGAATGGAAATTGAGAAAATGGAAACTGAGAAATGGAAGTGTCTCCGTGTCCTCATGATGATTTTATAATGAGCTCTTACAAGTGCTGGTCCTACCAGGATTATTTGAATTCTGGATCCTTTCTTGGCTGACAAGAGAAATTCTACCAAGAGGAGTGGCACTGTGTCTACCCCAGCCTCTAGTTACAAGTTACTCAGCCATGTTGGGTCCTGCTGCAGTGCTCAGCATTGACCTGAAGAGATGGAAAATGAAAAGCTCTTTCCTCTCTAAGGCCTCTTCAGATTCAAAGCAAACTGTGGGACTGGAAACAGTATTTGTAAAGGTAGAAGGGCCAGCAGAAGCTGCCCCAAAAGCTCAGTTGTTCCCACATTACAGCACGCTGCTGGTTCAGCCTGGCCAGTGCCTCACAGTGATGTGGTGTGGGTGACAGCAGCTCACTGAGCCAGCTCTGCTTGGGCTGTTGAAGCTGCTGCAGCTCTGCAGCGGGGGCGTGGTGTCTGTGGCCAGGGTTCTGTGCCCTGTAGAGCAGCCAAGGAAAAGGTGGGATGTGTAACAGACAGCAGTAAGTGAACTTTCTCGTGTGAAAGTAAGGAATTCCCCAGCACCCACAGCTGCATTTGGGATCAAGTCTTCATCCTTCTGCTGAGGGGAAGAGTCTTTAGCTCTGCCTCTCCGCTTTTGCGCAAGATGCCAGAAGCAGGAGAGGTTTTCTCGTTCCCTCTGCTTGTGGTCTAGGACACCGCATTAGAAATGCAGCTGCCTCTGCTCAAGTGGGCTGCTGGAAAGGGTGTTTGGCTGGTGTGTGTGCTCTGGGCTGCTTACTAAGCCCCTGCCTGGCAGTGCAGCCGTGGTGCACCCCTCGAGCTCCTCACTGCCGAGTGCACCGGCTCCCCAGCCCCGCGCTGAGCGTGGTTTCATGCGAGGGCCGTCGGCTGCCGAGCTGGTCCCGCGGTGCCTTCGTGCTACCTCGGTGTGGGAGGAGCAGGTGGCTGCCCCAAAGTCGCAGCCCAGGGCGGAAACTCTTTGGGGTTTGCTGTTGACGCTTGAGGCTTTCATAGAGTTGCAGCATCTGAGCTGGGTGTTCACTGCTGGAGTGATGCAGGCGTATAAAGGCAGAGCTGGGTCTTCCCCCAGGGCTCAGTCTGGGACACCCCTGGCAGCTTTGGGTTGCCACATGGAAGATCGCGCCGAGAACGTCCAGTCCATCCCACTCCCAGCCATGCAGCAGAACTCTATGTACCCCCAGATTTTTTGGGTGGATGGCTGTGCCAACACAAATACTTCCTGCCCCCCAACAGCCCCCATCGCTCCTTTCCCACCACCAGTACCTGACCGGAGCAGAAAGCCAAGGAACAAGAGAGACAGGAGGAGCGTTGGCTTCCTGGTGTTGTTCTTGCTGATCCTGGTGGCCTTCACTGGAGTGGGGCTCAGTATGTTCCAGATTTTCCACCTGGAGAAGGAACTGGCTGAACTCAGAGAGGTGAGGTCTGCCTGGCTGGTCACAGAAGCTCTGGGGAAAGAGGAAAAAAAAAGAAAAACTTAAAATTGGGTCCAAGATGCTCAGATGCAAAACTTCCCAAGGGGTAGGCTGGTGATACCTAGGTGACTGCCATGACAGGGTAAGTGGGGTTGCTTATTACTATGGGGGACTACTCTTGATGACTGATATATCTGGATGTCTTTGTGTTTCTGAGTGCTGCAAGGTGTCTCTCCCTGTATATTTTTTACCACTTTGGAGCTCCCCTTGAGCACCCAGAATTAGCCATTGTCAAAGATAGTCCTTGGCTGCTTCAGATGATGCCCTTATGCTCTCATCCTGCTAAGACAGCTTCTCACTCTTCTGTTTTGACAGTCTGCCATCACTGAGCACATTCCTCCAGCTTTGGAGAAACTCACAGGTGAGTTGATGTACCTGGAATAGGAACTCCTGTGTTAGCTTGTGTGAGTGCTCCTGTCCAACTTTCCCTCTTCTCATCAGGCATCAAAGGCCAGGTTGCAGCTTGGTGGTCTAAAAGTGCTGATTTTGCTTGTTTGGATGAAAAAAGAGCTTTTTTTTTTTTTATCTCTGGGGTGTGGGGATGGGGTTGTGCACCCTGCCTGCAGGAGTGCTTAGAGGTGTCAGCCACAGGTTCCTGGGACAGTACCTCTACCTTGGGGCCTCCTGGGCCCAGTGGGATGAAAGTATGGGGGGTACTCTGCTGTAGAAGTGAGTTTCTGGCTGTCCCAATATGTAGCATAACAAGAAAGGAAGGAGAACAGAGGCACAGCACGTGCTGCTAGTTTCCTTACTCTTTCAAGATTTTGGGAGGATGCACAGGGTTTTCTTTGGGACTGGAAGATTCACTCACTCCCTTGAGAGTGCAACTTATTTTTTCCTAAATTATTTTGGTACAAAATCTCACTGCAGCCAAAGCTAGTTGAGAAGAGCCTGATTATATGTGGGATTTTTTTTCTTTAAGAAGTGTTATTTCAGTGAAATTGAAACTGTCCACAAGAACTTGCCCAGTTTTCTAAACGTCATTTAGGAAAAAAGAAACTGTTTCAATCTGAATGGAACAACTTAAAAATCGTATTTTGAACTTCCAAACTATTATTTTACTTTTGCATTCCATGTTAATGTTACCAGTGAGGATACTCCTTTTTAAAGAATACCAAGTTGGAAAGAAATTCCAGCTCTCCTGAAAACTTTTACTAGATGTGGAAAGACTTGGTTTTTTTCCTTGAGGATTTTGCTTAGTGGGAAAGTTAATTTTTATCACATTTGTTCTGATACTGAATCAAAGCAGATTTGGAAATAGACGAATTCTCTGGAAAGGGCAGTCTTATACCTTATCAATATATTTTGTATTCAGTTGCCTAGGGGAAGGGGAGCTGTCATTTCAACTGGATGCTCAGTGCTCTGATTACAGGCTACTTCAGCAGTAGCTGAGCATGTGTCATAAATAGTAACCCTGAACTTGTTGAGGGGAGTGGATAAATAAATAAAGCCAGGGAAATAGTGTAAAGGAGAAGGGGGAAGAGGAAAAATTAATTGGCTGGGTTTTGATCACATCTGGATCCTTTATTGCAACTCTTTTAACTCCCAAGCACTGTTCTTCCTGTGGTAAGGCATGATGCTGATATGCCCTGTGCTGCTCTGAATCTGCCCCACTCCAGCTTCGTAGTTGGCTTCCTTCTGATCTCTGGGATGGCTTCTCTGTGGAGCATGTGGCTAATGTCTTCCTATTTTTGTGCAGGGCAGAAGGAGCAGTCAATGAAAAAGGAAGAGAAGGCAGCACATTTAACAGGTACATGCTGAGGGGCTGGCAAGATGTGGGAGCAGTGGATAGGAGATATGGGGCTGGGATGAAATGGTGGCATGGTCATAGTCATGGGACACCCATTTGCATAGGCTTTCCTATTTTCCTTTGGTAACAGGTGCTCTGACAGCAGGAAGCTAATCCCTAGATAAAATCTTCCCCTCCTTTAGGCTTTTCAATGAGGGCTCTGTTTTTTTTGGGTTGGTTTTTGGTTTGCATCTGGTGTGTGCAGGGCAGAAGGCTGCCACAAGCAGCAGGTGTTGAGTGAGGTGAAGGTGACAGCTCCCACCAGTGCAAGGGTGGACTTTCCGTGCTGCAGACAATGTTTGGAGACTAGCTGACATGTTTTGACAAGGGGTGTGAATTAAGGAAGAACCACACAACTGCTTGCACTTGCTGCACTTTTTTTTCTTGTTTGGCTTCTAGGGAACCCAGCCCAGCAGGACCTCCCTTTGGAGTGGGAACCCATCTCTGGCCATGCCTTCACCAATGGCATTCAGTACCGTGATCGGGGCCTTGTCATCAATGAGACTGGCCTGTACTTTGTGTACTCCAACGTGCTCTTCCGGAGCAGCACCTGCAGCAGCCAGATGTTGACCCACATGGTCTACAAGAAAAATCCAACCTTGCCAAGCAGCTACGTGCTGATGGAGGACAAAATCATAAACTACTGCACAGATCAGAAAAAGTGGGCTCGGAAAAGCTACCTAGGGGCTTTATTTAAGCTCAGGAAGATGGACAGTTTGCATGTCAATGTCTCCAAAATTGCTCTAGTTAATTTTGAGGAATCCAAGACATTCTTTGGCTTATTTAAACTTTAAATAGGGCTGTTGGAGCATGGCTGGCAGCTCCCCACACACACACTAGGACATGCAAGGGGTGAGTGCTGCCTGAGCAGCAGTGACCGAGCCAGAGTCTTGCACCAGGAAGCCCACCAAGAAACTATGCTTTGGTGTTCACTTCGAGAGCGTGTGAGCAACTAGTAAAATCCTGAAAAGCAGACCTCTGGGAAGCACTGGGGCTGTACTGCATCTACCCAGAGAGAAGTGCACATTGTGCCTCTCTGAAAAGCCAACAAACTAAACGTGTAGTGTACTGAAGACTGTTGAAACTCACTACTTGCTATGTGAGAAGATGCTGGTGCCAGCATCATGGCCCTGAAGCTTGGGACAGCCAGCAGGTGTCAAGGAGGCACCTCAAGCCTGAGCTGTGCTGTGCCACACTGCAGGCAGTGGTGTGGGAAAAAGTACCATGGAAGCTTCGACTGGCCACCCTGAGACATGGCTGGCTACCCTGCCCTGGTGTTTGGCCCTGTGACTGCTCCATGACAGACACCTGCCTGCTTGCAGGCTCGTTATGCATGGTATGTTCATTTCTTGTTAAGTTATCAACCATTCCCACCCCAGAAAATGTTCTCCACCCCCTTTATTTAACTCATCCCAACTGCCTTGCAAGGAATGAGCCAGAAGCAGCAGTGCCATGCGTCGGGTCCTGCCTCTGGAGAGAAACCATGACTGTGGCATGGTGGTAGAGCTGATGGGGAGGATATGTGCTCTGCTCACAGAACCTGAACAACACAGCAGTGGAGGATAGTGGGGCCAGAGATGAAAGCAGCATCTTCCACCCCCTTCCCAACCTTTCATCGCATCTGGGTCCCCCACAGAGACCTGGTCCTGCTATCCAGTGCATGGTGTGGTGGGGGGGAGTGCTGGCCACCATCAGTGGCATGGTTTTGGCTGGCTGTCTTGTCATGGGATATCTCCTGAGCAAAACAGAGATGGTAAATAAAGGTATATTTTTCTAGTAGGTGGCACTGTCCTCTCCTCATTTGGGGCAGCAGGCTTCTGCAATGGTCAAAACCCTGAAGGCTTTGTGACCAGGGGCCAGCACCCTGCTCCTTCTCCAGCAGCATGGCAGAAATCTAGGAGCCTGACCCCACTTCATTGCCTGCTTGGTGGGGCACAGTGTCCCCACCAGGGAACTTTGTGGCTCCAGCATCAAAACATCAGGATTTGGGCAGCAGGAAGACGTGATGCGGGCAGCACAGACCAGGCAGCTCAAGCAGTGTTTGGCCATCAGGAAGAGAACTGATCTCAACCACAGACTTGAGCTTGAGTGGAGCCAGACACTTGCTGAGCAGAAGCTCTGCTGTCCCCGAAGGCACCATGCTCCTCCATGTGCCCTCTGGTTCCAACAGTGCTTCCCATGTGGCATTCTGAAGGGCAAGAACAGGAAGTGGCACTTGGGTGTTTTAAAAAAAGAAAAAATCCACACCCTATTTGCTGTCTCTGGTGTTTGCTCTGTAGAGCTCTTCCCTTGCATAGGTTAACACTGAGGCTGTCTGCCACGTTGCCACCAGGCAGAACACAAGGCTGCATCATCATTTCTGGCTGTGGTCCAGCTTTCTCACAGCTCTGATGTTGGTCACAGTGTACAGTGGCTCTTTTGACAGCCTGCAGCATTGACTTCCTTTTCCATGGTGCTGCTCTCGGCTCAGTGGTGTGTGGCCTGTGGTTTCCTGCTGCTTGCTTCAGGGAAACTTATTTATTTGAACCTAGAAGTGGACTGGCTACTGGTGAAGCCAGTAAGAACACTCTACCCCTCCGCTCACACAGGTTGCTGCAGTCAGACATTTCCACTGCATTTCTTAGTATGGAAAATGCCTCAAAAGGTGAAAGTTTAGGGACCTTTCTGTGTGACTGATGCTTTCTACCTGTCCCCATGTCCTCCTGGTATCAGAGGGGCAAACTGCACTGTGGAGGGATGGAGGTGCTGGATCCTTACCCTGCCCGGAAAGGCTGTAGGATGCTGTCCTTTTCTGATTGCTGCTTCTGCTTTGTTGCTTTCCTAGTGATGAGACATCTAAGTGGGGAGTCAGCATCGGTATGCACCAGATACCTACAAGCTTGCAGCTATTTCCATAGCAAAACTAGGTGAGCACTTCACATGCTGCCCTTCTTCACTGGCAAGCAGCTTGGAGAGAGGCAGGGCTTTGAGTGCCCAGAGGAAACTCGCAGTGAGGTTATGTGCTCTGCTAGTCCTGCACTGATGAAGAGACGGAAAGCTCCTGGAGGTTTCCATAAGTCAGCACATGGTAACTCATCTTCTGCTTTGCCTTTCCTTCCTCAAACATTGCTCCAAACTGCCCAGAGCAAATCTTCTACTTACCTTCTGGGCTTTGATTAAGATTTGAAGTAAGATCATGACAGGATTATACCATTTCAGGCCACATAGAGTCAATTCATAGACTGCTTCCTAGCAGCTTTATTAATCTGTTATCTAGCTAATGAGCTGTTAATTTAGTGAAATACTTGCTTATTGTTACCATTAAATATTTAATGAATATTTAGTGCTGACATTATTAATAGCTCTTGGGTTATATTAATTTTTTTTTAAATATTCAAATTATTGAAAGGCATTTTGAAGTCATTAAGTATTTTGTTCCCTCTCCAGTAAGGAAAGGGTATCTGTGCTAGGGAAGTTATCCTAGGTCCATCAGCAGAGCTGACATGGTAGTATTTGGATTTTTTTCTGTCTTGAGGAAAACAAGTGACTGTTCCCTGCAGGCTATGTTTCTGGATTGCAGTGGTCTGAGCTGACTTCCTCTCTCCTGATGGAGCAGCCTGGGCCTTGTGTGGAGGTACCCCAGGGTTTGGGCACCATTTAAGAGGGTTCCAGAGAGACTTTCCTCTGCAAAGAATTTGGCTGACAAGAAGTCACAAGTCCAGGTTATCTCCTGATAAGAGGTTTCTGTTCTGCTTCTACTGCCTGGGGGTTTTCTGGGGTTCATGTCCTTTCTTCCTATGCACGGATAGGCTTTCATACATGATCCGGCCTGAAGGACCTGGCCAACACTGAACCAGTGAACACACTGGATGCACTCAAACAGTTCTTGTGGTCAGATGAACCTTTTCCAGATGCCTGTGGGTTTGAACGTGCTGCTGGCCAAATCAGGGCTCTGCATGTCACTGAAACATCTATGCTGCTGTGTAGCTAAGCACAGCAAGCTGCTTGATAGAGATATGGGCTCTTCTGTGGTTGATACCTATCAGAAGCTGCATCCTATTTACCTACCCCAGTGGAGGGCAGCATGCTAGGATCTTATAAACCTTGGGAAGACTCAGTGTATGCAGTAACCAAGGTAGTAGAACGGACTCCGTTATGGAAAGGACTGTATGGATAGAGTCATTGTTGCTTTTGAAGCCAAAGGGTTGCCCAGTGACCTCTTAGAGTATAAGCAGAGAGTGAGGCAGGATGAGCAATGATCAGGGCTGGTGTGTGATGGGTGCTGCTGCACAGTGGGTATGGTTTCTCACATATCTGTGGAGATGGGAAGTGGTGTGCTGGCAAGCAGCCCTACCCATGCTTGCTGCAGCTCTGCTGTCCCCAGCAGAGAAACCCTGTCAGAGAGGGAAAAATACTCCCTGAACAGTTATGGCCAGCACCCCTCTTATCAATACTGCATATTGCATCCCTGTGTCCAGACTCTTTACTGGTCCATGGTCATTTGTGATGGGGAGGAAAGTGACTACTCTGCAGAAAAGGCCTGAAGAGCACCTTCAATATAATGGAAAAGCAGAAGGAGCAGTTGCTGATCTCCATCTGATCCACAACATGTGCTCAGGTATCAGGGTGTTGGAGACAAGAAATTAAACTATTATGTGAGCTGGCTCTCAGCAGGCTTGCCTGGACACACACCTTGGCTCAGAAACCTCACGGCTTAGTTGTCACTCAACTGTCACTGTTGAGATGTGTTACATATGACTGTTTCTGTAGCCCTCCCAAGGAGAATAGAGAATGTGAGTAAGAATGGAAGAATTGATATGTCTGAAGTCACTCAAATCCTTTGAGTTCAGACAGCAACTTTCTATTTTATACGTTTAAAAAGTTTGATTGTTGCTTTTGTTGTTTTTTGGGGGGTTGAGTTTACTTTTTTCTTATTAATTTACCTGAAGCCAGCCTTGGGCTTTCTAAATTTCTGTTATGATGTCTTGTGGGGTTACTTCTTCCAGGCCATGAACCTGCAAAGACTCTGCCAAATTTTTACCAGGCTTGGAAGGAGCATTGCCTCATGGTTAGAGAGGGCAGAAAAAGGTAAGGGGGGTAAACTTAAATGTTGCTTTTATTTTTCTAGTGCTGTGACGTGTGGGCATATTACATCATGGTTTCAAAAGTTTAATTTTAGGCGTGACTAAGTGACTGAGGTTTAGTGCAGGGAGTGGATGGAGTTTTTATGCAAGGTGAGGCAAGTTGCATGTCAATTTCTTGTTGATTTTACTTTAAGGAAACAAGCTTGACAACTTGTTGCTGATTCATATCTTGGGGTAACACAGAGTCAAATGTTCCGTTCCCGGTGCATGACTGAAGTCCTGATACAGGGGATGTGGGACTGCAGGAGACCATTATCAGTGTCTGCAACGTGTCTTCTGCCAGGCAGAAGTGTGAAGAGATGCTGAGTTCCCTGGTCCTTCCCACCTGTGGTGTGACTAGCAGTGCTGCTTTAGGATCACACCAATAAGCACTGCTCTGCCAGTTACCCCTGCCATGACATCAGCAGTCATGTGAGGCTTTCTGTTCTGAAAACTCATGTTTTTCTTGAAAATCAGATGCTCTTTCTTCTGGGTGGCAAAAAACCCAAAAAGCTCGAGCTGGAAAAACAAACCCCAATGTATTTTCCTCTGCCTCCATTGTCTCACCATTCCTCAGCACACTCTCTTTGACTAACCCCTCTAAATGAAGAATGAGCTTCTCTCCCCTGCTTTATAAACCACTGTAGGGATTTTACATCTCTCTTTTTCCTGTGCTTCACAACCAGTTTCCT